CTGTGTGTCTGTCTGTGTGTCTGTCTGTGTGTCTGTGTCTGTGTCTGTGTCTGTGTCTGTGTCTGTGTCTGTGTCTGTGTCTGTGTCTGTGTCTGTGTCTGTGTCTGTGTCTGTGTCTGTGTCTGTGTCTGTGTGGGTGTGAGGGTTTAGGGAAGAGTCGGTGCGCGTGTGTGTGTGTGTGTGCGTGTGTGCGCATACAGCCCTGGTAGCTTGGGAGTTCGATTCCGCGCGCGATCAGATTCCAGACCGTGCCTAAACAAGCTATGGAAGCTGATGGGAAGCAAGGGCTGATCACCCTTGTGTACCTGCCAAAGTTGTAAGGTCGTATATCATCCTCGCCCTGTATGGCTGCCCCAGTCTGACGAGCCTGTACATGTGGAAGGTCAGAGTCTAGAGTCTAGTACAGGAAAGTGCCAGCCACTTCCGCGTGTGTGGCTACACCTCTTCACCTCACCTCTGCAATTTTACATGAGCAAGACGAATACTCTGTCAGAGCGCATGCGGGCACCTAGATGGTTTTTCGTTCCAGTACGGGTGCCGACTGCGTGGAACCCTGATCGGTTCAGTTGAGTCTGGCCCGCTACTGTTTGACACTGACTCCCAAAAGCCTCGGCCTTGACCGGCGAAAGTAGGAGCACGTTAGCAAGCTACATGCGACCAGCGCAGTCAGCATGACGATTTTCTGATACCCATGATGCCATGCTTGCCTCCATCAGTGCTAATGCCAGCAGCAGCAATACCCTGCAGAATGATTGCAGGAGGCTGCCGACCCAGCGGCCCGCGTGGCCGAGAGGCCTGAGCCAGTTCCAGCGCGTGGTTTTCAAGTTCGACGCCAGCACTCTCGGCCCCTTGCCAGCCCTGCTCCAGCCGGTGGGCTTGGCTTGTCTGAGCCCGCAACCTTGCATTGCATGACACGCTGCGTGCCATAAAGGCCACGTCTACAGCGGCACGGGCTTCACAAGCCGAACACTAAAGTTACTAAAGCATTGCTCTCTCACTCGGCAGTGACTACTTCTTGCATTGCGGCACACAACCACTGAAGAAACAGATCATACAAACCAAACGTCTCATGTTTGCTTTGCAGGTCTGATTGCTCATCGCATGTGGCACGCGCCATAAAAAAACATTGGTGTGGCAGGCTGGGGGCGCAATGGTGTCTGTATGCGCAGCTCTTGGGACCGAGTGTCAGGAACTACAGTACTTGGAAGATTAAGAGATAGAAAAGACAGCCTTAGCTCGTACCATCCAGGCCAGTCCCAGCAGTCACGCCCAGACAAGCGTTTGCAATTCGCAAGCTTCTGCGCTAACACGTTTTTAAAGAATGTCAGCGGATTCCGCTGCAGAAAGACTTCACGGCAGATGTCCGTCCTCGTGCCACTACGAGATCTAGATCGGATCAGGAGTGTCATGCTGCGTCGCGAGAGGCATGGGCCTGGGCCTAGACTGCGGGGTCTGTTCCGAGAACCCACAAACCTTGGTGTCTTCCATACAGCAGCGGTTTCTGATCAGATCTGAGCTCCGAAATCGCCTGCGAATACAGGAAAAGGCCACTCTGGACGCTCTCCCATCCATGTCTCATCGGTGCTCTGCGGATATCTGCACCCAGCCTGGGCATTTCATCTGCAATCCCCAACATGATGCAGCACCATCCTTCCGCAGACGCGCCTAAAGGGATGTCCCATGCTGAGACCCTTCACATCCCTCGATGCTGCCGGAGTCAGCCCGGAACTGAGTGGAGCATGTTTCCTCCCGCGCCTGCGTGATAGCCTGAGTCCTAGTACCACGAATGCAGGCACGTCGCATGCTCCACAACGTGCATGTCCTCAGCTTGAGGTTTGGGAATGCACGCAGCTAGAAGCCAAATCTGGCTTGCCCAGCACCGGCACAGGAGGAGAGAGAAACGGCGTTTAATTAGGCATGATGAAATAAAAGATCTGGCCTAGATTGGGAGGCGCTTAACCGAAAAAGTCTCTCCAACCTCACGACACTGGGGACCACACGTTGGAGCCGTAGGGCTCCAGACCCAGCGCCCGAGCCCGGTTGAACATCTCTTGCAGCATGGATGACCTGCACTCTGCAGCAATTTCGCAAAAGACGATGTCTCGGGCTTTGCAGAATAAACGAATCCTGGTGCGGCCCGAGCAGCTTGACGATGGGTACGCGGGATAGAAAGTTGATACCAGTAAAGGTGATGCCATCTTGCTCCGAACCTGCGGTAAGTCGGTGAGCCCTCCAGCAGTTTGCTGCAGCACCTGCTGAGAATATGAAAAAGAACATCCCAGAGGCCCTATGCCTAAGCACTGGAACTGTATGGCCCGGGTGTATTCGTAGCCAGTCTCGGCCGTGATCTCTGGATCGCTCCAGATCTCCAGAACCATGTTGTCGAACCTAGCTATGCAGCGGCACACCGAAGTGCACAGAAGCATCCTGCAGATTGCAAGACGCGGAACTCCTGACCAAAGCCAGTTTCCAACATGACCCCCGGCTCGGCCGGCTTGTAGTACATGGTCATGTTGCAAGTCCACCTCGATACAAAAAGCACGACCGCGACTGCAGGTTAGATGGTCCACTAGATCGCCAAACCTTTTCCAGGCAATCCGAGCACGTCAACCGAGTACTGGACATGTTCATCCTCCTGTTTCCATTCCTGCAGTTCTGCCGGACGTTCTTATCAGGCTCGCCCGGGTAGGCCCCAACACGCCATGAAAAAGAGGCACTCAGCTTGAGGTCAACGCTCCAATGGCATCCGAGCTTCGCATTGTACCCTGGAAGCCACGGGCCATCAACACCCTTCTTCCAGGGCCACGGACATGTCACCGTAAACCTTGAGCAGGTGCATGGTGCAGACGTCCGTCGTGAGCTCTAGCCATGTGGATTTGGCCCCAACATCATGTTTTGAAAAACCAAGGTTTCGGATTCATTCCAAGCTGCATGTCTTCGATGACGTTTCCATGGCGTGTCATATTGAAGCGAGTACAACCACATCCGTTGCACTGCGTAATGTCATGGAAGGCGAGCTCATACCACACTCCAACCTTCAGCGAGCCGGAGCATTGGTCGAGACAAGACTGGATCTAGGCTTGAGCTCGTGCAATCCAAGGGCATATTTATCCACGTTGAAAGCAGGCAAAGTTGGACTCCTGACATCCTCATACTTGGGGCATTGGAGGGTGCCCTTCCTTGGTTGCAATTTGCTGGAACTGAAGCACAGCCCAGGCGCAGCCTCTTGCGCCAAGGCTCGGTGTCTCCAGCAGATAATACCATGGCAAACCACCACGAGGATCGATTGGGTTCTCTACCTGGACCATTTCATCACGACAAGCAGGAATCTCCCTTCCACCTTTTTCCACACTGCCGCATAACAACTGAACTCTACTTGCCAGCCAGCGCTGCCGGCGGAGTCCCCATGCTTGCTCTTGGCGCTGTTTCCATTGCAGCAATGCTCAGTGATCGGACCATGGAGTCTGCAAAAGTCTCCTTGGTGCAGCTTGATCTGTGCCAAAACCGAATATCTCTAAGCACCTGACATGTAACACTGTAAAGTCGTACATGTTCTCTTGGCACCTGTCTTAAGGTTTCACCCGGGCACTATCACTTTTCGTGATCAATACAAGCCATTTTGTAACAGTGGTTGATCCTGGCACCAAAGCATAATCCCGTTTGGCAGCCTTCCGACGGATAACATCAACATAACCCTGCCCCTGCTTTCTCAACGGCACATGTGCGATTGATAGTGTTTGCATTGCTTGTAACGTTCACGTTGGCTAAGTTGCCATCTATCAAAGCTGCTGTGGTGGTTGCTGCTACTGCTGCTGCTTCTTCTACTGCTACTGCTACTGCT